TTTGCGCCATCCTGAAGGAGGCACAGAGAACAACACTCGTCTCGGTAGACGGTGTTTCGGCATGCGTAGCACATGACCGAGCCACCGTAGTCGATGATGCTGGATGTTTTCTCTGATCGAAGTGCCTGCAGCACAACCAAATACCCGTTTTCTAATCACCTCGTTACTGACACGCTGACGCCATCCGAAACCAGTCACGCTTCTGAGGCATCGTTGGTCAGAAACCTGAAGACACCTCACATCATCTGTCCGCAGAGGCCATGTCTCGCACCCATACAACAACACAGTCCTTACTGTAGCCTGATACACACCACCCCTAAGATCCGGTGAGATGCCTTTTTGACGCCACAAGTGATGCAAATTAGCTAACGTGATTCGAGCCTTCGAGATTCTTTCACTGACTTCATCAGACGCCACAAGTGATGCAAATTAGCTAACGTGATTCAACCCTTTGAGATTCTTTCACTGACTTCATCAGATACACTTCCGTCTGAGCTAATACAACTAATAATACAACTACCACAATCTCCAGTGATTCTGCTTGAATTGTAAGGGATGTGTTCGCAGATGACACGTTCTGAAGCATGACTTTGTACTTTGAAGGTGCAAGGCGCATGTTATAGGATGGAATGATGGTGGTCAGTTTATTCAACAGGGTTTGTGCTTCGCTTTGGTCTTCAAAGATGAGGGCACATGTTAGCAAACGGAACACCCGTAAATTCTGCGAATAACTGGTAGGAGGCGGTTAAACGATGGATATTTTCGCCTCATTATTTTATTAATGACGAAGTTGAACAAGAATGGAGAGAGAGAGAGAGGACACCCTTATCTGACACCACTTTTTGTAGGGAAGTTTTTGGAGAGCTCGCTGTACACTCACCCGCTCAGAAATGTGTGAATATAGGGATCGGATTATGTTTACAAAATTCTGGGGCATACCCCGTTGAGCTAATGTAGTTAACAGTACTCATCGATTGCACATATACACAGTGGCGAGCCACCAAATCTTCAAATGCCTTAGCTACCAAGAGAAGCTGCCGTGATAACTAGTGTACAACTGTAGCATCATTGAAAGCAACACCATTAGAACGCTAGTACAGCCAGAGAACCTAACGAAATACTGTACCCGAGAAATGGACTCTTCCATGGCGTCCGTTTCAACGGAGAGTGCACCTATACACATTCTTGTTCATGTTCTGGACTCGTACCATCGACTTTGAATGATTTCTCCCGACGCGACAAATACTTCTGCTGAACGTATGGACCTCCAAATGGTGATCTGTATTAGACCGTAAACAGACACTTCACTCCGACCCCACTGCAGGCGTTTGCAATCTTGACATCGACGTCCCACTAAGGAATGGCTTCAGTCATCTCCCCAGACCATGCGGACCGCACGGCAGATTCTTTCTGGTCATTAACTGTCTCGCCCACATTGTCCCATCCACTAACCTGCGCTGTGACCTCTTCAGTCCTCTTTGTTCCTCTGATCACTGTTTCATCAATTCTTCCCATTCACTCTCTCATAATACTCTTTTCCTTTCTCGCCGAATAGATCTGACCATACTGTTCCGCCGAGTGGGATGGTATAGAAAATATCCATCGATTAACCGCCTCCTACCAGTTATTCGCAGAATTTACGGGTGTTCCGTTTGCTAACATGTGCCCTCATCTTTGAAGACCAAAGCGAAGCACAAACCCTGTTGAATAAACTGACCACCATCATTCCATCCTATAACATGCGCCTTGCACCTTCAAAGTACAAAGTCATGCTTCAGAACGTGTCATCTGCGAACACATCCCTTACAATTCAAGCAGAATCACTGGAGATTGCGGTAGTTGTATTATTAGTTATATTAGCTCAGACGGAAGTGTATCTGATGAAGTCAGTGAAAGAATCTCAGGCTCGAATCACGTTTGCTAATTTGTGTCACTTGTGCCTCAGAAGCGTGGCTGGTTTCGGATGGCGTCAGCGTGTCAGTAACGAGGTGATTAGAAAACGGGTATTTGGTTGTGCTGCAGGCACTTCGATCAGAGAAAACATCCAGCATCATCGACTACGGTGGCTCGGTCATGTGCTACGCATGCCGAAACACCGTCTACCGAGACGAGTGTTGTTCTCTGTGCCTCCTTCAGGATAGCGCAAACCGCGAGGTGGACAGCACATGACTTGGCAGAAAG